CCATGCCTATATGTGCACATGTCTCTGTGTTTTGTCTACATATGTGTAAAAAATAGATATAAAAGTATCTATCTACATGTGGAAAGGGAAAAAGTACTGAATATGTATATATTGGTTGCATTGGATATATTCTTATAAGGTAGATGTACAAAAATTATTTCAGTAGAACATTGTCAGCAGTGAATATATGCTGATGGTTGAATGCTAATACATTTTTTGTTATAACATGGAGACAGATGCTCAGCTACTGTGGATGGATACAGATCCATTGAAGACTGAAGACAGTAATGCAAACGCTGTTTTACATTGAACAGTATTTTGATAGCATATTTATAGTCCTATCTTTATATTCAGTCCTTTGCATGGATATTTTGTGCACCCAGACCAAAGGCGTAATAACTCTACTCGCCCATCTGAAGCCCCATCTACTTCTTTGTTGCTAGCTGGTAGTGTGAGGCTACCCCTGAACAGCATGGCAGAATCAGTCTTGCTATGTCGACTTGCATTTTGAAGTTGAATGTGTTGCCAGCAGAATAGAGACCTATATTGTTCTAAAATAACCAGCTGAGCCCCTGTTATTAGGGTATGTAGACACCATCACAATCCAAGGTGTGTTAGCTAAACTCCACTAATGTGCCTATTTCTGATTTACAGGTGGAGACGTTCTAGCCCCCACTAGAACATACGGCATGGAAATCCTCATGCAGGAAACCCTTGGTTGGGCTGTGCATTGAATTCAGATTCAGATCTCAGCCTTCTTCACAAGCTCATTGTTTGATACTTTCCTGACGATGCAGTAAAGGTAAAACAGCCTGCAAATATTTTATAAAGCTTCTGCAAATCACTGGAAAACTGTCTTGACCGTAGTACTTCAGAAACATGCAGTAGTGCTGCAGTCAGTGCACAACAGCTAGACTCCAATGGTTGTTTTAATCTTGTTTAAACTATTCTCTCAGCAGGTAACTGAGAGACATAAATTACCTACTACCTGCCAGCAAGGTGCCTGTACTGTAGAAGGTTTTTATGTTACTCAGAAACACGTTATATCCAGCTTTGGAGATTCAGTGAAAGAAACAACAGTGTTCTTAACAGTAGGACCACTTAAATGTAAAGGGGCATGCAGACCTCAGACTTAAAGAAAGCAGCAAAAACTGTAATGGAAAATTTCTAGGAAGAAATATTTAGAAAATATCTGTACGCAACTTTTAACTGACTCCTGGAGTACCTACTGCTTTTTTCCTCTCATATATAAAGAGCATCTGTCTACCTGTGGTCCAAAAGTACTTTTAGTCTAGAATGAAGGAAACAACAACAATAAAGTCCAAAAGTAAAATTCCCATGAAAGCACACAGCCTGTGTGTATTTCTTCTTTGTGCTGTGCAAGGTTTGTACAAGAAGTCCACAGTCCTCCTAGACCTCAAAAATGTAAAGGGGTATGATGCAGAAAATGGAGGCACTGAGTTATATGGCTTCATACAGCATCCTTGCAGAGCACTGAGACAAAAGCATTCAGACTAAATGCCATCCTGACTTGCCTCCATGCCGTTCCCACTGACTGCAGTGAATGAACCAGGTGGAAAGCACAGATATGTCATAGCTGAATAACAGAGAGCAGTCCCCTGAGATTCATGATGGGTTTCCATCATTAACAAAAGAGTGTTAAAAAGAATTCATGCAAATATATGAAACTGGAATGTTTGACCTAAGAAACAATCCTTTATGTAACAGTGGCACCTTTGTATCCCTTATTTTGGTGTGCTAATGATCTTCCATGGAACTTGTTAACTGATGTGCCTGGATATGCTGCATCTGCAGCCGTGCTATCAGGTGCTGAGGAGGCAGCAGGCGTGGAAAGTTGCCTTCAGGCTCTCCCCTCTGACAGATATCAGCTGGAGAAAAGCAATGTACAGCTGTGCCTCTTTTCTGAGACCACTCCCATGTAAAGTCCTACAGGGGCTGGTCCTGTCTCTTTTCCTTTTCATCATTTGCTGAAGAGCTGGAGGAAAGGTCATGAGGAGCTGAGGGCTATGATACCATCAATCTGTTGATGGCAACCAGCTCGTATGTCTCTTTTCAGCTTATGCAATCAGTGCCATGACATAGATGTCCCAAAACTTAGAGGAGATAAGCCCGCAGATCAAAATCAGTTGACTGAAGCTGAACTAAAGAAGGAAGAGATGTTCCTGGAAGGAAGGAGGAGAACTTGACGTAGTTAAGGCAGTGAGCGAATCCTGCTTTCATTTTGGGCAAATGCTATGTAGTTTGGGGTCCTGGTGTAGACTGCGTTGCCCCTGGATTTAGTATGGCTTGCAAAGTACTTGTAACTTTTTTTGTCTGCTCTACTGTCATTTTTTGTGGTAAAGGTGACTCATTCTACCTTTTGTGAGAGGCCGCCAGAGACTTGTTCAGGTTAAAAAGAGAACAAAGAATGAAGCTTGTCAAATAAAGCAGCAACATATAAGAAATATGGAAGGTGTAATTCCTTACAGACATACTTACTGTCAGTCCAGTTTTGTATTTTATTCTTGGTAAAAGAGGTGTTTGAATATAGATAGACAAGTAAGGATTAGCAGACCCAGTGCAGACTTTGAAAATGATCATGATCTGAAACTGTCTGGTTTTATAGCCTTGGGCAAGTCATATAATCTCTCTGCTACTGTTTTCTGATCTATAATCCAAGGCCAGTAATTCTTTCTTGCTTCTCAGTAGTGATTTAATGAATGCTTTCACTGTGTTTTGTGGTGTCGTATACAAATGCTACAATTACAGAGCAGCAAGCAGCATATGATATTAATGCTGAACAGATACAGGGTAAAACTTGAGATGCTGGATAGCAGCACACTCAGATACAACTGTAATGAGTTCATTAGTAATGCACGACTGGATTGATTAAGTAGTTGCCACTGTGTAAAGCCTTGTCTAGGGCTGATACTTGACATATTATTTTGACCCGAGACAGATGCTCAATGATCTTGTCTCTTAAGTTTTGGCAATGCCTGTCATGTCAATACAAATTATTGAGCCGAACTGAAAGAAAGAAGATGTAGTTGCCATGTGGATACCCTTTTTATATTCTTCTGTATATAAGAATTGCAGCTTCCCAAACTGGATTTTTTATATAACCTTTCAGAAGCACAGTTTGAAATAGCTTGTCTTCTTTTTTTTCTTTCTTCCTTTTTTTCTTCCTTCCTGAGAATGTTTCCTCTTGCCATCGTGCTAAAAATGTACTCTTGTGACAAAACAACCATGTCCCAGAATTTTATCCTTTCCTATCACAATGGTAGCATATCCCTTATGGTGATGACACAGCACAGAAATGCCACCACATTGGGAAACTGGTAACTGTGATGTGAAATATTGGAAGATATAAGAGTTTTCTACACAAAAGAGTGACAGGAGGATTCAAACAGTCTTTGAGGACCTGGATATCCAACTGAGATTAGAGGTCCGGATGAGTCAGGATAGTTGTGTGCAAAAGCCTTTCAGCTCTAGGCTGGGGATCTGAAGGTGAACAGCATCTGGAAGAGGTTACCTATTCCGGGAGGTTTTGATAGCTTATTTGAAATGGGTTTCAGCTGGGGACCCAGAGCCGTTTGCTAGCAGGTTGATTATTACAGACTGGGAAGCTGGCACCAGCAGTGGTGGTGACTAGTGCAGCGCACCCCTCCATCCACCCCGGTGCAGTCAGTAAGGACTGCAGGTGAGAAGTGGCAGTGCAGAGAGCATATACTTTAAGGGTACAGATACTGGACACAAAGGGTGCTTTGCTTTGGGTCCTTCCACTGTAAGTGAGAAGATTCCTATCTTTTCCTTCCCTAAGTCTCTCTCCAGCTGTGCATCTTTCCTCATCCCAAATGCCTTCTGATGATGGCTCCTGGGCTGTGCCTCATGCACATTCACTGGCATTTCAAGTGAGCTAAGGATTGCTAACCCCACGTTAAGGCAGGTTCACCAAGGCCTTCTGCAAATGGGAAGCGAGGCATAGCACTGTGAAATGATTTACTAAAGGTTACCCAGCTGTGACTGAGAAAAGTGTGCTCTGGTTCTGCCACGAAAGATGTCACAAAAGTAATAGTAATAACTTTCTCTACATGTGTTTCTGCTTTGCAAAATTACATGTCCACCAGGGGACTTGTTAATGTCAATGGCATTCAGTTTTCATGATCACCGCTTGAAGTGATCAGTCAGCTATATGGATCTACAAATTGCTCCCTTGCAGCCAACCTCTTAGTCTAATGCTCAGGCGACAGTCAGCCGTAAGGATCAGACTCGAAAAGATGCCTTTGATTTTCCTTTGATGTTTCTGAGCCAAGGAGGAATTTCACGGGGCTGCTGGGCGGTAGGTGAAGATCCCTTCTGTTTGTGGGAAGCCAATTATAATGCAGCTGACCCGCTTTGACCTTAAGATTACTGGCAGGACATCTGGGATGTCCTTGCGAGGCAGAGCTGGCTCACTGAATGTGCGTAACGAGGGGCACAGACCCATTTGTTCGTCTGGATGCAGCGATCATTCAAATAGCGTAATTATAATGGAGGTTGCAGGAATTGATCCTGGTCAGACTCAGTGTATTTATTTGCTTGCACTTTGGCATCATTGCCGACATGTGAGGATAAAGCAGGGTTCTCATTTAGCATTTCATGATAACACATGGGAACAATTTACAAGGAGAACAGGTCCTAGTTTCTAAGCCTCTCTTCCAGTTAACACTCTCCCCTTTTCTTATTTTGTTGTTCCCTTATTCACTTCTTACTACAGATCTAAAACCAGCAGAAGCTTTTAAAGACCCTGACAAAAAAAAAGCATCAAGAGCGAGGTTATTTGCGGGAAGGGTCTATAGAGCGAGGTATACACCGGGAGCAGGGTGGAGGCACGGAAACCTAATCCCGGAGGGGCGGTCCCTGGGACGTTAGAGGAGCAGAGCTGGAACTTTTTTTTTTCTTTTTAATCTCTGTCGAAACAAATTGGGCGGAGATCGCTTTTTAATTGCCATTGCCGGCAGTCCGTTTTGGGGAGGTGGGGTCGGCCGGGGTGTTTGTTGTCCTGTGGGAGCTACCCCCGCGCTGGGCGGGGCGGGGCGGGGGCGATAAGCACCGCCGGGCCGGGCCGGGCCGGGCCGGGCGGACTACAGGCCCCGTCATGCCGGGCGCGGGCGGGCGGTAGCGGCGGGACTGCGCCTGCGCCGCCAGACGTGGCAGCAGCCCGCAGCGGCGGCGGCGGGTCCGGAGCGGGTCCGGCGCGGCGGCGATGGCTGTGCCGGGGCAGGGCGCGGGGGTTGCGCGGCGGCGCGGCCGGCTCCCGCGGCTGCTGCCGCTGCTCGGGCTGGCGGTGAGTGGCGGCGGCCGCGCCCCGGGGCGGCCGGGAGGGAGAACGGGGGGTGGGCGGGCGTGGGGTGTCCCCTCCGCTTTCCCTGGGGCGGGGGCGCTCGGCGCGGCGCGGCCGGCGGAGTTGGGGGAAAGTTGGGAGCGGGACGGGCCCCTCGGGCTGGGCGCGGCGGCTGCTCCCGCCGCCGCTCTGGGCGGGCTCGGCGCGGCGCGGCTCAGCTCGGCACTGCCGGGCTCCCCCAGCTCTCCGCCCGGCTGTTTCCCCAGCGCTCAGCCCCTCTGCTGCTTCCCTGCTTCCTTTTCTGTCTCTCAAAAAAAAAAAAACCACTCTGAGGAAACCCACCCCGGCGGCCGTCCTCCCGGGTGGCTGCGGGTTGGGGCCCCCGGCTCGCCCCCCGCTGCCCCGGCCCCGGCGGCTCCGACCGGCGGGCGCTTCGCTCGTAAGTTTCAGGTGGAAATCGGTGCCGCGGCGACAGGGGGTGTCCCTCGGCGGTGGCTCTGCCGCAGCAAAGCTGCCTCGCTCGGCTTTGTGCACCTGTGCGCGGGCACGGCCGCCCGTGGGCAGTCCTGCCGCCCGTGGGCAGTCCTGCCGCCCGTGGGCAGTCCTGCCGCCCGTGGGCAGTCCTGCCGCCCGTGGGCAGTCCTGCCGCCCCTGCTTCCACGTCCCTCGGATGTGGCGCTCTCCATCTTAGTGTATTCCGAAGGATCTGGGTATGTTTCATTGAAATGACACGAAGTAGAACACCCCTTACCTTAGGGAAACTCCTAGACTTACAGAAATATTTTAAAGTCTGATTTTTCTTATTTTCTTTTTTTTTTTTTTTTAATTGAGAATTTAGCATAAATTGCTCAAAAGATTGGCAAAGGCACGCTTTAAAGCACTCCTTTATTTACTTTATTGGGGTGAACTACAGTTCTTCCTTCTGCCTGGACAAATAGAGTTAATAATTAATGAAAAATTACATTAATTTTTTTATGCACGCGTGATCTGGAATCTATTTGAAATGCATGACCTAGGAGTACTCATTTAATTCATACAAATCAAGTGTGGAATTGCTAATTACCGTGTGCTGATTCTGTACTAATATTAGACTTGCCATTGTGGGACAGAAAGCATCGGCTCTGTCTGATGTAGCCTTTTGCCCCTGGCACGGGCCTAGCTGTCAGCTCATTCAGGAGGAGGGAAAAGGTACACTGTGCCTCCTGCACAATTTTTGTTTTGTTATAAGCTTGGTCTATAAGCATAGACCTCTGCTATCTGCAATTTATTTATTGATTTCAAGTGAAACTGAAGTCAGGCTGAACTCTTCCTAAAATGTTGGAGAGGTCTTAGTGGAGCTTTCCTTTCCCTGTGGCTCATCTTTAACATACACAGCACTTTTCTCAGTGAGACTTGTGTCAGTGTATTCCTTCAGATTAAGTATATACTGTGGACCAAGTGGAGTTACAAGTAGATTGAATTTTCCCTTCATTTAAAATAGCTAACCACGTGGAGTTATTTGTGGTATTTCCTTCTATATCCACTGCGACTGTCAGACCTTATCTTACTGTAACATTTATGTTAATGTAAGTATTTTGCTACGATTTCTTTTGTAGATTAAAAGATTTTTTTTTTTTTTTTCCATCTTCCTTCACGTGAATCTGTTGTGCCTAGCTATTCTAGTTGCCCTTCTTTGGACCTTTTGTTTTGCAGAGCTGGTGTCTTTGAGATGAGCAGAGTGGGCCTGCTGTTGTCAGTGAAATGATACAAAGCCATTATAATTTATCCACATTATTCTCTCTTACCCTTCTTAATTTGCCCCAGCATTTTATTTGCTCCGTGATGCTGCATGCTGAGCAGATGTCTTCATTGAGCTGTTGATTCAGCTAATTCTTTCCCCTTTACTGTGTACAAGTAGTTTAAATTATTTCTTCCAATTTGCATTATCTTACACTTGAAGGTGCAATTCTTCATCTTGAAATATGTAACTTGCTGTACACCAGGATTAAAAATCTAGCCTACAGCTGTTACACTGCAAAACCCGCTTTTAAATTTTTCTTGAGTCAATGTTTGCAAAGTCAGTGAGGCTGTTAAATCAGGATGTTCTCAGTATGTAAAGTTAAAGCAAAGGTAATGCCAGCTGCTTGGTAGGACAGAGGTTAATGAGAACATTGTCTTTCCTTCTAGCCCGTCCTCTTTTATGTACCCAAATGTGATTTTTTTTTTGTTGTTGTTGTTTTTTTGTTTTCCTGGAAGTGCAGAGTGCATACAGTGCACCAGGGACAGGAGCCAGAGTTGCGCATTCATAGTGCTTCTGAAAAATAGGGCTCATTATTAAAGAAGGACTCAAAATTGGAGGTGGCTTCTGAGAACTGAAATCCTTGTCTCTATAAGACTTCCTGCATTTGTAAAAGGAAAACTACAAATCTGGATGAAGAAAACACTTCGGTATCTTCTAATGGAAGATGTTATTATCTTCTGCATCACTGTGAATATGTGACACACACATGAGGAAGATACTGCAGTGATCTCTGCTTGCTGTGAAGTTTTATTTCTTGAATGAGTTGGAGAGTCATAGGGAAGTTGTGGTTTAACTTTAGAGATACTTCCCTATTTGGTATGTCAAGTGGTTGACTATATTTCACGCGCAAAGGACTGAATTTAACTGTTAAAGGCATTGGGAAGGGATTTCACACTGAGGTGTATTTGCATTTCCTCTGATATATCAGGTACTGTCCTTTCCCTAGCAGAGGCCAGCCACTGCTTCCAACAGGATTGCACGTCTGGGATCCATTTGCTTTGTAAATGCTGATGAATGTTATCTCAGGCCAAAGTGGCAAAGGTCAGTTGGTCTTCTGAGCGTTGGCTTCATGACAGAGAAACGGAGTTGAGAGTCTGACTGACTTACAGCCACTGGGAAGCAGGCTTCTTGACTTGGTGCCATTCAAGCCTGGTCCCTACAAAGAAAGGCTTGAAAGGAACATTTCAGGCTTCCAGCTCCTCAAGTCCCAGTAATGTCACAGGAATGCACCAGTGAGCATTGACATGGAGTTGTGAATCCAGGCCTGTGGGGAAGGCTTGGACATGGCTCACTCGAAGTTGTGTGTAGCCCTGCAGCAGGGCCTTTACCTCCAGTGAGTTTGCAGGCAGGGTGCGAGTGCTGCTTCTCCTTTACAGTGCTCAGGTGCTGTTTGCTGGGGTGACATTTGGGCTTGAATTTGGGACTGCCTCTTCCCATCCAGTTACTGTTTGTACTTTGGGAAGCATTTTGCCTCAGAGGGAGAGTACTGCAGAGGCAAATCCCTTACTTGATGTCCCTATGCCCCATTCCTGTTTCGTCTGTTCCCTCTTCAAAGTACAGATTTGTAAAACTTGTGATGTGGGTTGTGCTTTGTCCCCTTAGATGCCCTTCCCAAATCAAACCTTGGCTTTCAGGACTGGTTTTGTTATTCAGCTCCGTACTCTGTGGAGTGATGCTTTGAATCTGTTTGGTTTGATGCTGAAGTGCCAGGTTACTTCAGAGGGCCTGGGATGTTGTCATAAGCGCGGTGTGGTCATCAGAAGTGGTGTTTCTGCCCGGGGGTGTGTTCATGATGTCATGAGCTGTAATTGGTGATGGAATTGGTGCTTGTTCTGTTGTTGACCATTTATTTGGCTTTTTGGTGACAGTTACTTCATTTCAGTAAAATGGAGGTAATGAGACTCACCTTTCTCCAGAGTTGTGTTTGGAGGTCTGTGGATGGAAAAACTCAATGCGGTTTGCAACCAGAATCACAAACTAGCATTGCCTTAATGCTTGATGCAGGCAGGGTCACTTTGGAAGTCAGTTATGATTTACCTTGATCCTGCCACCATTTCAAGCTTGTGAATGGCAAAAAATTGTGGTAGCAAAGCAGGTCTTAAGTTTTGGCACTTTGCTAGGTGAGAGTAGATGGTAATGTTGGAGAGCATGGTGATTTGTGCGCTTGCAGAACACAGATAATGAAGGTAATCTCATTTGTGGCTGCTCTGATGATGTCCTAATACATTTTGGGTTTACAGTTATATAGCATATTTGCTGGGTGACTGCAAATAGACTTTTTCTCTCCCCATTGTTACTTTTCAGGAGGTGGCACATCATGAGCGTGTGGTTGTGTGCTGCTCTAGGATAAGCTACATGCTGGCTTGCTCTGATGCTGCCTCCCTTTTTCCTCTTGCAGATTGCTTCCTTTCTGTGTGAATCTTACTCCAACAATTTATGTTAAGCTTCATATCCCATCACCTGTCAGAAAAATGTAAGGATTAATTAGTTAATATTTGTGCAATGCTTTGAAGATAACAAGTGCTATATAAAGTGCTAAGGATTTTCAGGTGTCATTTTTCACCCTCTCTTCTTTATAGCTCCCATTAATAGTGGTTTTGTCTTTTTATAGCGTCTCCTGCGTGCTTCTCCAGTAGGTGATTCTTCTTTAAACTTCTTTAAAACCCAGTTTTTAGTGGGGGATTATGTGGTATATGCTTTGCTCATGCCCTTCGCTTCTGAAGTCATCCAAATGTGCTCATTCAGAAGTGATATTTTAAACATTTAATCAACAACCTGTTTAATATATACTGCACTAATGCCTGGCTTGAAGAGAGAGTGAGCTTCACATTCATAAGGACGAAGTTCTTTGTCAGCATCAGTAATTGACCCTATTACAGTCAATTGTTAATTAGTAAATAGTTGCACAGGTTTTCCTTCACTAAGCGTTTGAAAACCAGTGGTAAACTGTACAATTAATTTGCTACACAGAGCCCTTAAGAACAACCTTTAGTATAGACTATTATGCCTGTAGCTTATGTTCCTTAAAATCCAGTGTTTAAGAACAATATGAACAGTAGAGTCTAGTCAAATCTTGACGTCTCCATGGTATTTTTTGCTATCTACTATATTTGGAAAGTGAACATAGCAAGCATTGCTTCAAGTGGAATGCCTTATTTGTAGTATTCTTCAACCTAAGTTAAAGAATTTAATTTGTCTTTCTTCATGAACGAAAGAAGATATG